TTAGTAATGTTGTGCAGAGGAAACCTCAAAGAAGGAAAATATTTCTTTGATATCCTTGACTAGGAACACACACTATCAAAATCCGATCGCTGCTGGAATAAGATTAAGAGGTTCAAGTACTTTGGATATCCGATCAGATTTCTTTGATACACTACTGTGGCAATGCTATCAAGAAACTTATGTTCGGGACAAGAACGTTATCTGAAAACACCGCACCTGATGGTGGACCAATGGCAGAGGACATTGAGCATATGGAAGCTATGTTTGAAGCTTTAAGGTTTAGGTTCGCCTTTTGTATCTCTGATTATCTATATATGCTCACGGGACTTGATTTTAACGGTCACGAGAATGGTGGCGTTTAAGATATAAACGATCAGTCTAGGATTGTTACTATTTTGTGTATAAGATATAAACGATCAGTCTAGAATTGTTACTATTTTAAGAGGACGGAACTATATATTATCTTCCTTGAAACAACATAATCACAAAACAAACACAACTATTTACATTTTTCATTTACAAACATGAACTTTACTTTATGTTTAAGTATTTACTAAATTAACTTTGTAAAGTCTATCAAATTTTTACTCTACTTTTATTTGTTTCGATTAATAACAACCACTTANAACACAACTATTTACATTTTTCATTTACAAACATGAACTTTACTTTATGTTTAAGTATTTACTAAATTAACTTTGTAAAGTCTATCAAATTTTTACTCTACTTTTATTTGTTTCGATTAATAACAACCACTTATGCTACTCCACTAATAATCAGAAAAGATCATTGTCTTCAACACTGTTACAACATCAAATTTCTGAACACAATCTCTTCACCAAGGCCACAAAATAAATCGCAACTTCTTTTATAAAAATATATATGAATCCGGCGCGTAGCACCGGTACACCACTAGTAATATATATAATTTTTAATGAACAAATCTTATTTTGAATCTTAAAATAAATAAAATTTTAAAATATGAGAATTATCTTACATTTGAAAAATAAATGGAAGAAAGCATATCTTCGCATAAATACATTTATAATACAGAATTTATTTTTATTTTATATAATTTACATTGTTCACAAAAAAAAAATTTACATTAATATCTTTTGCACTTAGAAATTCAGCATTATAGTAGAAAGTATTTAGATACTTCATAGTTCTATTGATATTAATTAGAAATCATACTAAACCATAAAACGTTGGTCTTCATATTTACTTTGAAAACATAACGGATGGTAAAAAAGCAAATAACTTGGAATTTTCCTATCAAGTGAAAGCAAAATTAGCTAATAAAGGATTTTATAAAACTCAGAGTAAGTAATAATTATCTTTAAAATTTACCTTCACATGACTTTTCATCTTTTAACTATGCATCTGCAAATAATAATGAAAGGATTAATGAAGTAAAGAAGCTATGTAATAATATACACATGAATATTTTACGGTAGATTTCATATATAGTGCCAACATAATTATCTGATTTTCTGGAATATTCTTTGAAAACAACATTGGTTGTTTTGGTATCCCTTTTCCCCTCTCCATTAACATTAAGATCTTTAGACCTTTTTCTACTTTGAACTCTTGGTACAGCAACTTAAAGTTGACAATGAGATAATGTTTTTGCTTACAAAATAAATCAATTTCAGGTATCTATAACTAAAACTGACATGTATATATATTTAGAGAATAAATATTTCAATAAAATCATTGACGATCAAATTTGTCTCACTGATGCAATAGAGTTATATAAATAATTCCTTTGTTATTGATATATCAAACATCTAAAAACAAATTGTGTATGTCAAAGACTGCAACAATGCAAAAACGTATAAAAAACAAATTCCTTTATCACTGCATGTGCATAGATATATCAAACATCTAAAAACAAATAGTGTATGGCAAAGACTGCGACAATACAAAAATGAAGTTGCTGATATATACCTTTGTTAATTTTGTCTTAGAATTTAATTAACATTACTGTTTTGCCCTCTCCAAGACTTCACTCTCCTCTGGCCTCTAGTATCATACATAATCCAATTTATTGAATATCTGAAACATTAAATGATATAACTATATTGAAAAAATATTAATCAAAGTACTCACCATAATATGTGAACGATGTTTTCTATCGACATTTTGGTGTCAAACCCATCATACAGGAAAAACAATTTATCAAACTAATATTTTTTGATAATTTACTGGAAGTGCATTTACCATTATGCGAAAGCCCTTTTTCCGTCTGCCATGTTTGCATCTGCGTTTAGTCTGATTTCCATCTTCTTCAACTTTCTTGCTTTTTTGTCCTATTGCTGCTTTGCTCCTGTTACATTTCGAGAAATTCAGGTCACTCCATTATAAACTGGTTCTGATGAGGCAATGTAGTTCTCTGTCGAAGCCAACAAACTTGTTAAAAAAAGGAGATAGTGTCACTGGAAAAATATTGGTTGTTGAGATCCGGTTACATTGAAATCGAACTATGCACTGGGTCGGGACAATCCATACGGTCCAGATAATGAATTAGAGTTTTGAAATAAAAGAAGGATCATAGGCATTTTGTATTCTCTGTTTTGAGCAATTGAAGATTTCACTGCTATTTGTTTATTGAATGAAGGTTTAAAATATGGAAAAGAAAAAGATCGACAAAGAAGGATCATGGGTCGTGTGGGAAACTGACTAACTACGGTTCTTGTTTTTTTTTTCTTTTAAGCATTATATTTTTAATTGATTTTTCTTAAATTTTTTTAAAAAAATTCTTATATGTCAAAATGTAATTGGTTAGCTGACTTGTGCTTTAGTATATAAGAGATGTGTAAAAGGTAGTTATTATGTGTACTAATTACGGTTCTTGTTACCATCAAACACTGATCTTCTCAATAAAATTGTGAAACTTTTAACAAAAACAATATTGAAATGAGATAATAAATAATATATATTTTATTCAAATTCTTACAAGAAAATATATTGCCAAACATCATAAAAACAAATCAGGACCAAATCGCTGCTTTAAATCAATGTGTTTACGGACTAACTTGGAAAACATGAGTTTGATGTGAACGTGAACATTAACTCTTCTCTATTGTAACTCTTCACTTTAGACGTTTCTTCTCTCTTGTAACTCTTCACTTTAGACGTGAAACAACACTAATGAAAGAGTAGAATTAAATAAGGGCTTTTTGCAGAATTGACCTGAAACTTGAAGTCAACCACAAAACTAACCTCCCTTTTTTTTGGAACTTTATTTTGCCCAATTCACCCCACAAGTTCATATAATTCACGAAAATGCCATCAAATTTTTTTTTTTTTTTGGTTTCGAAAATAACATATTTACTCTCTCACCCTCATCATCTTCAAGTAATTAC